TGATGGTCATAATCAAGAACATGATCTTGATAGGCAGTCTGGACGACTGTTCACTAGGACGGACGTATAACGATCTAAATGTGGGACTGTCAAAAAGTCAGAAAAGAAAAACCTTCTCACATCCAACCTTAGATCGCCCCCGACTATTTAGTAGTTCAAAGTGATCGAGATAAGGCGGTTCAACCTTTACTTTCTTGCACATCACAATATTCACATGAATTTGAGATATTCAAGTCAAGCTTTGATGTAGCACCAAAAATAACTCAGTAGACCGGCCTGAGCGGTTAGCTCGGATAAGGCCAGTACGAGGAAGCTTAGAGCTAAATTTATTCAATATACGATATTGGTTAAAAATATACTTGAAGATTTAGGAAATAGTCCTAAAAGATATTCATGAAAGTTGATGTATATCTACATAGTTATTATGCGGGATCATAATTCTTGACTATTGAGGATACTTTTTTTCTTGGGGAATAAGCCGTTAAATCCTTATAAATAAGGATCTCAGGAACACAAAAAGGCGAGCTTCAAAATCTTATGAAGTGTGCAAAATGTCCGAAAGGCTGTTAGTCCGCGCGTTCCAATCATTCAAAACGAAAACTAGCAGCAAAGCTCTAATGTTGTCTCACGACCCGACAAAATGTTGAGAGTTCTAGTGTTCTTCGAGGGGGCACAAAGACCTGGCGTGGTGCCTTATGCCGCGACTATTTATGGAGAAAGCTCAGAGGTGCAGACGAGGAGTCCCGCGCAGCGTAGGATGTACATAAATGTCGTTTCAATTTTGTGCCCAGCCATTCATATGGAAGAGTGACATTGACTTTATCAGGATCACGGACTCGACGAACTCACCGAGCCCAGGTCATTTATACATATAAAACACAAATAAACATTTTGTCGGTATAGCTGCTAGGCTACTACTTATTTCCGCTTTAAATGATGATTATGCTGTTGTTTCAAGATAATTCGTTTCCACAATTTTGTTGTGCGAAGTTCTGTGTTGCAGTTTCACATCCGAAAACGATAGTCCACTGGGTGAGGATCGGGCTCACATAGCTCAGATGACCTCACGCCAAGTCAGCCGGACATAAAATCCTTGAGAATAGTCTTGCCCAGACGAATCAACACCGCACTTTAAAGAAAACCTAAGTCGAGGTCGCTTTGGCACTCGCTTATTTACAGAGTCTTGGGACTTCCCAATGAGATATTTTGCACCCCAATTTTTTTTCTTACAAAGGTCAACGACACCAATGATATTTTCGACTCCAGGTACATAAGCTAGTCTTTATTTGTTCAAATGATAAAAGTGTAGATATCGTGACAAGTTTTTCGGGATTGTGAGGAAATATTAATTGTTTACATATCTTCGGTTAAATTTTTCTGTAATGCTACGATAAGTGCAGGGTTAGCCTAGCACCTAGATGCGTGTTTGAAGAGATCGCTGCGGCGGTTCTCGAGCTCGCGGAGCTCAGGGTGCCTAGATGCGTGTTCGAAGAGATCGCTGTGGCGGTTCTCGAGCTCGCAGAGCTCGGGAGCGAGTCCTCGTACTCGTAGCCTAGATGCGTGTTTGAAGATTGCTGCCGCGTTTCTTGAGCTCGCAGAGCTCAGAGCTCCTAGATGAGTGTTCGAAGAGATCGCTGTGGCGGTTCTCGAGCTCACAGAGCTCAGGAGTGAGTCCTCGTACTTAGCCTAGATGCGTGTTGGAAGAGATCATTGCGGCAGTTCTCGAGCTCGCTGAGTTTGGGAACGAGTCCTCGTACTCGTAGCCTAATGCGTGTTTGAAGAGATTGTTGTGGCGGAGCGAGTCCTCTGACTCGTAGCCAATCGTTCTTTAAAGACTTCCTTGTCGTGGTGTCGCCCGAGTTCGCGGAGCTCGGCGGTAGCTAGGTTTTTGGCGCAAGCCTGTCATAAGGCCGCCGAGTTCTTGGAGCTCGGCGGTAGTCAAGTTTAGGGCGCAAGACTGTCATGAGGCGCCCGAGTTTGTGGAGCTCGATGGTAGCCATGTTTAGGGCGTAAGCCTGTCATGAGGTCGCTCGAGTTCGTGGAGCTCGGCGGTAGCCAAGTTTGGGGCGCCAGCATGCAGTGGTGCCGCTCGAGCTCGCGGAACTCGGTGGTGGTAGAGATCGGTTGGAAGCATGTTGAAGACGTCGCTCGAGCTCGCGGAGCTCGACAGTGATTGAGATAGGGCGAAAGCCTGTTGAAGATGTTGTTCGAGCTAGCGGAGCTCGGCGATGATCGAGATAGGGCGAAAGCCTGTTGAAGACGTCATTCGAGCTCGCAAAGCTCGGCGGTGGTCGAGATAGGGCGAAAGCCTGTTGAAGATGTTGTTCGAGCTCGCGGAGCTCGGCGGTGGTCGAGATAGACCGAGAATCTATTGAAGATGTCGCTCGAGCTCGCGGAGCTCGGCGGTGATCAAGATAGGGCGAAAGCTTGTTGAAGACGTCGTTGAAGCTCGGGGAGCTCGATGATCGAGATAGGGAGAAAGCCTGTTGAAGATATTGTTCGAGCTTGCGGAGCTCGATGGTGGTCGAGATAGATCGAAAACCTATTGAGGATGTCGTTCGAGCTCGTGGAGGTTGATGGTGGTCGAGATAGGGCAAAAGCATGTTGAAAACTTCGTTCGAGCTCGCAGAGCTCAACATTGGTCGATATAGGGCGAAAGCCTGTTGAGTCATCATCGCTCAAGCTCGAGAGCCTCGGCAGGTGACCCATTCGAACGATTACCAAGCTTATCCTAGCCCGGCATGAAGTTAAACTCGTCGCCGCATTAGGGCGAGATAATCATAAGCTCGACAGTATCATCGTGTTTATAAGCTCGGTAGTATGGTTGCGTTTATAAAGATCATTAGCGGGTCTTCGGACTCGTAGACAAATTTAAGGCGAAAGCCTGTCATGGCGTTGTCCGAGCTCTCAGAGCTCGGTAGTTGATCTTTTGACTTATAGCTGGATTATTGACCATTAGCTTGTCGTAGCGGTGCCCGAGCTCATAGAGCTTGGGAGAACAGTCCACAGTGGGGGTGCCCGATCTCACAGAGCTCACGGCAGGATTTTCAACTCGTAGCCAATAAAGGGTGAGTAACTCGAACAAGCGATATACAAAGCTTGCGATGCTCGGGGGTCAGTTTCCGGACTTGTAAGCAATCTTTTAAGAACACATGTGTTGGATGCTAGGTGTTAGTGGTGAGTTCTCGATGCCAAGATTTATGTGAACCGACCTACCTTGTAGGCCATGAGGGCTGACCTCTCAGGATCGCGTATGCAATAAAGTGAGGATCGTGAACTGACGGCCTATATCCTAGTCCGCATGCAATTGATACACATTCAATCCAGAGAAGGTAAGGTGGCAAAACATCGAGCAGGTTGCTCAGGGGGCCACAGAGTCAAGCAAAGTGCAAAGTTAGCCCGGGAGTCGTAATTGCATGCAAAACACTGCAGAGCTCCGACGTGGTAGACTGTAGTGGCGGGATGAGCCCAGGACCCCGATGCCATAGTCTTATGAGATAGACTTGGGCGGACATGATTGTTCTACTCTCAGACAAGTCTTATATCCATAAGCTCGTCTAGAGTTGGGGGGGAGGGGTAGATGATGTAGCACCAAAAATAACTCAGTAGACCGGCCTGAGTGGTTAGCTCGGATAAGGCCGGTCCGAGGAGCTTAGAGCTAAATTTATTCGATATACGATATTGGTTTAAAATATTCACGAAGATTTAGGAAATAATCCTAAAAGATATTCATGGAAGTTGATGTATATCTACATAGTTATTATGCGAGATAAAAATTCTTGACTATTAAGGATACCCTTTTTCTTGGGGAATAAGCCGTTAAATCCTTATAAATAAGGATCTCATGTTCATTTTTTCTAATCTTAAGCTCTTGAGATTACTTAAATACACGGTCAATATATCTGTTTTCTGACTTGAGCGTCGGAGTGTCTACGTCGGACGGGCCCCGGCGCTTTACAAGTCGATCCGTTTCTTGAAGACGAAGGCGATCGAGACGTCCGAACTCTAACGCAATCGAGAGAGGCGGTTCGACCGTTGAGTTGATTAATTTGGTTCATATGGATTCAGTTGAAGTAGTAGTAAATAGTGTAACTTCAAATGGATTTACTTGAAATAGTAATAAAATTTCCGCTTAAAATTTTCAAATTACTATTCTTAGTATTTTTTTTTTTTTTTTTTTTTTTTTTTTTTTGAGAAAATGGCAGTTGAATGATCCAAATTTAGGGAAAAAAATATAAAAGAAATTAAGCGAATATCACACATCTGTTAATATAGAACTAGTATGAGTCCCGTGCAGCGCACGAGTAAGAGATATTCATTAATATTTATAAATTAAAAATTCTCATTAAGTAACATTTATAAAATAAAATATGAAATTGATATGTAATATTGAAAATGTTATATAAAGTTTAAATTGTACAAAATTACATAAAATATTTCGTTAAAAATAGTACGGAACCCATGTGGTGCATATAACTGATAATAATTTACATTATATTCGTTTGAAAATAAGTATCATTTCAAAATTTTTATTCAAAAACTCGATTTGGCTATAATGTTATTGCATAATATAGTTATTTTGGTAAAATATAAATTTATATTGTTTCATTACTTAAAATATTTATATTTGTATAAACTATTAAAATAAAAATATTAAGTAACTGAGTAATTTATTACACTATAAATAATGGACTATTTCGTTCATGTTCAAGCTAATATTGATCCATAAGTTATTGAGTAATTTGTTAAACTATAAATAATTGACTATTTCGTTTACGTCCAAGTTAATATTGACCCGTGACCGTAAGTTTGAATAATTTATTTTTTTTAAATTAAATAATTTATTTTTTATATTATATACCAAATTTAAACCATGCAACTAAAAAATATAATATTTGCAAGTTTTGTCAATATGTTATATTATAATTTTAAATCATGCAACTAATAATGGTAATATAGTTGCAATATTTGACTAAAATGATTCTGTACATTAATTAAAGTAATTTAGGCGGGATATTCAAAATTTGGCTAAAAATATTACTCAATATAGTAAATACTTTAGGCGAGAAACCTAATGTTTTTTTTTTGTTGATTTTTAGCTGCTATTTCAAGTATATATCATTGCATCTTTATATAGTAATAGATAGAGAAATGGATTTACTTGAAATAGTATTAAAATCCCCGCTTAAATTTTTCAAAGTTACTATTCTTAGTATTTTTAGAAAATGGCGACTAAATGAAAATTTGAATTCAAATTTAGAAAAAAATGAAAATAAAATTACTGTTTGAGAAAGATATTTGTAAGTGCTGAAGATTTGCAGTAAATCGATGAGCCTTCTGATGATCGCAGAGTCCAGAATTTACGGAAGTATTTAAGGGAAGTTTATTTTTGGTATGAATAAGTCTTAATTTTAATTAAGTCCAAATGACTGGTTATTTATGTTATTATTTTGGCAGGACTTTGGGATTGAGGGGGAGATACACTTTCCATAATCTAAAGAGAAGGAGGATCGTGAGATTCACCTTCCATAATCGAAGAATAAAAAGTTCAAGAGATTTTCATTCCTTATCTGCGTTTGTCTTGGATGAGAAGACTTTCCAAAGGGTGCTGAAGATAAAAGGAGGACGAGACCAGAGTTGAGGACGACTTTTTGATCAGAATGTTTTTGAGTTAGATATTTTTTCTTTCCTTGAGTGAAAAAGAGTGATATTCAGAACTCTTTGTAAAAGAACGTTCGGAGGTTCGTTCTTATAGTTTCGAGGGATTCGAACTAGAAAATCCACAAGGGAGTTGTGGTCGGATAAGTAGTTGTGTGAATCATTATTCAAGTAGAGTGTAGAGGGAGTCTATACTGTAAACCCTTGGATGATGTAGGAGTTGTTCACATTAATGAAAGAGATATGAAGGGAGGGTGAGACGCTCTCCTGAAGGTTCAATTTTTAGTGAAAAACTGCTTCCGCAATTATTTGAATCTTTATTACTATCTGTCTATTCGATTTACGTGCAACTCTGGATACTTGGGGTTCAAGTATCAAATTTCAATATTGTGTAAACCTTAATTGTTATAATATGGCCAATGATTATCTTATATGCTATTGGTAAATGATTTTCTTATATGCTATGGGTAAATCTAGCAATAATGAGAAAAGTTATTGAAAATCTTGGTACCAAAAAATTAAATCAATCATTTCCTTATTTTTTCGGTTCAACGTGGGAATTTGGTTACAAAAATCTAGTTAATCATTTAACGAATTAAACGTTTAAACTTTTTTGATATCTTTTCGAAAAGTCATGTCGACTTAATTGTTAAATATTTTTATCCATATTTATATATCTACAAATCTCGTATTTAATGGTCAGAGCTAAGATTTTTATTTATTTAATAAAGAATGTTAATTTCAGAAATTAATTTTTATATTTCGAATTGTTCAGTTTCATTGATAGTTTTTTTGTCCATACTTATCTAACTGGAAAATCTTTTAAAGTTTAGAATGAATCTCATATTATGTGGATTTTTTGTACCTATTTTTTTTTTGTACACATCTATTTTTTCATCTCATATCCAAATTATAAATTTTAATGTTAATTTTAAATATCTCAAATTTATGAAATATATATATTAAAAAAAATGACAATTCATATAATTAAGTTTATCATATATCATGTCTTAGGTGTTATTGGTTTGATGGTGGACACTTATTATATTCAAATAAATAATATTTAATTTTTTGTATTTTGTATTTATTTTCTTGCAATAATGAGTTGTTAAATATAAATAATTATGTTTAAAATAAAATCTTAAACTAAGCTTTAAATAATAAGCCAGTCAATGCATAACACGATGTGCACACTACTAATAATTAAGAATATACCGGGTATGAAGGGGAAGCCGCCACCACGGCTGCTGGCGAGGACAAGTTCATAGAAAGTGCGTAAACGGCCGCCCCAAGAAGTTGTGTGGACCCGGCCCCGAAAATCACGTATTTGCCCTCCGTGATCGCATTAGCTGCGGCCAGGTGGACCCTACGGATGTGGTTCTCTAGCTCCCGCGATTGCGTTATCCACAAAGGTGAGGTGTCGGAGAACGTGTAGCTCATCCTGTGCCATCCCGCAATGACCACCGCGCTTGTGGCCGGGTGTCGCCTCCAAAAAGGTTCCAGGAACAGTGGGTCCCCACTGCATCCCACAAAAACACACCACTTAGTCAACCATTTTTGGCACACCAAACCAATTATTGATATAAAGACATTAAACTAAATATGTGTACCAAAATTACATGGACAATTTTATGTCCGAATTATGACAGAACCTGTCGGCATCAGCAGGGCAGTCGGGCGAGAAGACAGAGCAGTCGGGGCCTCCGTAGCAGGCGTTGCACTCGCAGATGGGCTTTCGGTCGATGATCAAACCGTCCAGATAAGCTCTGCCGTGGCCCGAACACGAAATCCGAGCCACCGATTCTGCTTCTTCCGCAGCTGCTT